ATTGTTACTTGGCACCATTCCTGGAGATGATGATAACAAAATAAAGGGTTCTAAATTTAAAGACAGGTCATGTTATGCCTTTTATCAAACCTGAAAGATTTGCACTGGGATCAAGCTTTATCTGAAGCTGTAAACTTATGCCATTAGAAAGCTAATATCCTAACTCTAGTAGGCAGAAATAATATTGGTAAAGTAATCAAAAATTACTATGAAAAGGAATTCATTACTTTGATGAAATTGAAAGATTATAGAAAAAAAGAAAATATATCGAAAAAAAAAAAAAATCATAATTGAATTTAAAAATGAAAATTTATAAAAACATAATTGTAAAGGACATGGTCACTAAGTAAAAGGGGATAAACTAATGTTGAACAAAGTGCCATTGATGTGGATATTAAATTTATGAAAATCATATTGTATCGTAGAGTAGCTACATATTCTGGGGTGGACAAGGTATTCACAGAAAAGACAAAAAAGCAAATAGAAAAACAAAAAAAAAAGATTTTAAACAACCAGAAATTAGCTTTAACTAGGATGAGAATATTGAAGAAGTTAGTACAGAATAGGAAACACAGATGACTAATTAATTGTGACATAGATATCTTTGTTCCTTATGACAAACAACTGAAAAACCCTGATCTTGTTTCATGCAGTATCTGTAAAAACATCTCATCAACCCAACTTAGTGCCATTGGCTACTCCCGTATAGCAGCATGTAGGGGTAACCCTTACAAGCTATGTCTAACTGAAAAGACAGGTCACTGGTATAGAACCTCTATACCGGTGACCTGTCCTTTCATTATACCAATTTATACACCAATTGGAATAGAAAACTTATGGACACTCTTGATTCCAAAGCAACGGATGGCCAATTACTAGCTCTTGTGTCTAGAGCTGTTGGTACAAAGCTTAAAATCAACTATAGAAACTGGTAAAATTCTTGGAGACATTATAGCAAAGGCAACAAAAAAAACTTCTTAGAGAATGGAAGTGTAAAAAAATTGTTATTGGCATGGTTTTCAATACAACTTCATCAAATACAGAAAAACTTAATTAAATATACAATAACATTATTGAAGTATATACAATAAGAAGTATATAGATAAGCTTAATTAATTAAATATAAAATATCTGAATGAAGATCATGCAACTACACAGCAATGAGTTACATTTACAATATTATTACTACTATTTTGATTTTTCAAAGGTGAGTTCAACAGGTTATATCTTTTGTTTTACCTACAATCAATAAATTATACAAAAAATAGTAAAGAGCTACTTTTTACAATTGGTATATAGTGAACTTACTTATTATAGTTTTAACTTATAGTTTTGACTTACAGCTATTATAATTTATTTACTATATCTTATTCACTTTTCTAGGTTCAAGAAACATTTCCCTCAACTGTTATCAGATGAACAAACAAAGTGTTATTAACCTCAAATAATGCCTATAGAAGAAGTATGTCAGCAAGAGATGGCTAAATTTTTTCCTGAACCTCTTACACAATCATTCACACAAAGTGAACCAAATAACCTTGAGATCCTGGTGCCCTTCACAAAGCAAGGTGGATAAGTATGAAGCAATGTCGATAAGTAAACTATTTTAAACTCTGAAGATTGTGCTTCTGTCTGGACCGATTCAAGAATATTTTCCAAATGTTGAAATTGTTACTAGAAACCAAATAAGAAAATTGGAATGATTTTTTGTGTTCTCAATTGCAGTTTATGTGCAGTGTTGGCTTGTTTTTCCTGTACCAGGTAACACAGCAGTAAATAACTTGATTTTAGTTGAAAACTTGGCAAAATTTGCATGACTCAACTCTAGTTGAAAATGCTTGCATGGCATTCAGTTGGCACACTTGGTACTTATCTGAGGACTTAATTCCATTAGCTCTGTTCTCATCTATGATAGCAGTAGAAACCAAAGAGGAACTGAGGAAATCTATTCTTATCTTCAAAAACATTTCTGTCACAAAGACTATTTGCACTTACCTTTGGGGGATATGGCAAGCCCTATCTTCCTCCTACAATAAAATATGGTACTTCTCTAATTGACTTAATTGGGCTGGATTCATTTAGACTTCTTAGCAAACTACAGGAGGTAAATAAGGAAGCAGACTGTAGTGTGAAGGTGTACTATAATTTTCTAGTTATAACTAAAGATAATAAGCACTTTCAAGGAATCTCAAAGTAGAGGTAGTAGAATCTCATAGACAATGGATTCCAAACCAGCAAAAGCCATTTTGTGTATAAAAAGACAAAACATGATTTCCTGGTAAACATTCTTACATTATTATTCTTATATTGTAGTCAAAAGAGATTTTTATGGTAAAAAAAAAGTCTCTTTCAACAACATTTTAGCAACATCAACATTTAGGCTACATTTTAATGTCGTCTTAAAGTTAAAACAATTAAAATAATGCAGAAGTACATTAGGTTTTGTTGTTTTTAAAAAAAACCACAATAATGACTAGAAAGTCTTTTTAATTAATGTTTTTGTTTTTGTTTTTTTGAACACCAGATTTTCAGAAGCTTAAGTTTTACCAATGTGAGAATTTTTCCAAAAATGCACAGTGAAGCTTGTAAACATGTCTTTGACATGCAAGCTGCAATATAATTGAACTGTTTGACAGAACTTAATGTTTGTGGCTGAATATTTTCCTGTACTAGTTGCAGTTGTGTCAAAGCTCAGACCCTTTACATAAGTTTTTA